CATCCTCCTACGTATCTCCTTCTAGGCCTTTCTTCGTTGTTTGTGGCTATTTTACCACTTCTAAGTCTCATGCAACGAAGCATAGAGAGATCGTAAAATTGAAGAACTTAAATGCAGAATTTTTTTCCAGAGAAAGGTGAACAAAAATATTTTAATACACTATAGCATTATCCCACTAGGCGTGAATTTGTTTACCGTGAAAATTGGTAAACAATCAATGGTATTCAAAAACAATAATTGATTTGGTTCACTTGCAGGATCAACCAGTGAATCCTAAGAGCATAGCTATGGTGTTTTATGCCTTTCTAGAAAATTCGTAGAACACTTCGACAGTATTCATTGATTTGTAAAAAGGATTGATTGTTTTGTTTGAAAAAAGGCTAAAATTTATAAAATTTTGTTTAAGTAAAACAATGAAGAAAAATAACTTCAAAGTAAAAGAAATGTAGTAAAGAGCAGTGAGTAAAAGAAAGTAAATTTCTATTGAATAAAATATATGGTGTTTCAAACGTACATTTCTCAACAATGACTCTTTTCTCACGTTAACTTGAGTACTTTGAGTAAATTTGAGTACAGTACAATAATTGAACACACAGAAATCCTAATTCTAAGACCCCTATTTATAATGCATCGAAATAACTGCCTCTAAAGAATATTTCTCCAAAAGTTGACATGTTTCGCCTCTGCATGCTTTGTTTCACCATGGTTCGCCACACGTCTTCTCTTAAGAAACAGATAAGGACAAAAGACAATTACTCATCCATATTTGAAATTCAAATATTTGTCGAAGGAAGGTTTTATAGCATGCCTTCATCGAAATAACTTCCTATACTTAGAAAGTATTTCTAAGTATTTGCTCAAGCATATCTCTTTATGAGAACCATTTCTACAGAATTTCACATCAATTCCTGTCGAAATCAACCAAACTTAAAAAACTTTCATTTTATCTAGTTTCTCAAACGCAAATATAGCGTCGAAATTCCCAACCAACAGTGGGCCAGCTGCTCATGAAAAGCTGCACATTGTTATTATATGAAATGTTGCATGTTTGGCTGGATTAATGAATTTGTATGGCTAGCTGGCAAGGTTTGTAGTGGTTGTGTGTTGCATATCATGCTGTAACGGTTTGTTTGTTGCTTTGTGAAGGTTGAGTTTATATGAAGTGTGGGGAGTGAATTGTAACATGTAGTCTAAAGATGTGGTAATGTTGTGTGTATGAGAAGACTCGGGTAGGATCACGTATCAATTTGGTTGAAGGTTTTGTGGTTTGTGGTAATTGAAGAATTTGTTAATGGTTTATTATGGAGAATCGGTTAGAAAGTCAAAATTGTGATGGTTGCTTTGGGTATTGTGTTGTGTAATGTGGTGTGATTTTGGTCATAGCTTAAGAAACTATTGACGTGGAATATCATGGTAATGGTTTTGTATAATTGACTTATTCATATTTTTTTTTTTGACATTTTCATGGGCTTTTTCTATTGTTATTTTTTGTGAATTGTATCATGTATTGTAGTGAAAAATGGGTTATGTAAATGAATATGGACTTTGGTTTTTTTTTTTTGTAAATGGAATTTTATTATTTTGTAGAACTTGGTGTGTGTCATGGGCTTATTGTAATTCATGAGCTTATGGCCTTTTTTTAATGAAATTGATTTTTTCTTTTGAATTGTATGATGTTATGGTAATGCTTTTATTTTATTTTTAAAATGATCATGAAATAGGGATATAGAAATGGATATGAAGTGGAATTTGGATAATGAAAAATGGATATTAAATTATTTGGATAATGAAAAATCATGGTTTTGAAATGGATATAATGGATAGTGTGTTTTAAATAGAATATGGATAATGAACATAATGGAAAATAAATGATTGAAAATATGAATTGGATTGGATAAAAAAATGTGAGTGGATTAGAAAATAGGTATCTGGATATGGAACTGCCCTTGAGAGACTCTAAATCAATCTCATCCTTAGAAATCTCGAAACTCAATCCTAATGAACTTCCTTGCATGAAAACCCTGATTAAAAAACGAACTAGTCATAATCCTGAGTCATTGAAGTATTTGACTTGTCACGTCCTGATAATTTGAAAGATGAATAGACGAAGATCCAACGATGGAAAAATAAGTAAGAAGACCACGAGGGTTGCATATCCACTAATAAATGAGTGTCACATCTAGGGGTGGAAATAGGCTTGGCCGTGTTAGACTTTGCCAAGCCTGAGCCTGACCTACTAAAAATTTCAAAGTCTAAGTCTGGCCTGTGGCCTATCGTAGACTTGTTTTTAGGCCTGAGTCTGACCTTTTTGAAGGCTTGTTTGGCCTATTAGGCTACATAAAAGCCTATTGCATTTGATCCTATGTAAATAAGCAATTATATTAATGTTTAAATAGACTAAAAAAATTAAAAGATCAATGAGACTAAATGCTTATTTGCATTGACTTATTCAAATTTACATATTAACATAAGTTTTTTATACTATTTGTTTGAGAGAACTTATGAAAATAACTTATGACATTGTTCATAAGATTTTTTTAACTTATTTTCATATGTTTTTCAAGATAAATACGCTTTACCTTTTTATTTTAATTTAAAATACACATAAAATATAATAATAATAATAATAATAATAATAATAATAATAATAATAATAATAATAATAATAATAATAATAATAATAATAATAATAATAATAATAATAATAAAATTATTCATATTTATTTAAATAGATCGACCTGATAGGTTTATAAGGCTTTTTTTAGGGCCTTTGGTTTAGAATTTTTAACTAAATAGGCTTATAAAAAAGCCTAGACCTTTCTATTTGAAAAAGGGTAACGCTAACTTGTGTCCCAAGTGCACAAATTAAGAAATAAATATAGGAAATAATTCTTGGAAATTGTGTAATAAATTTAATACAACCTTATAATTAATGACTTTATTGTTTTTTTCTATACATATTTTTTATTTGTGGGTTTTTTTAACATATGTCCCAAAGGTACAAGTTATCATTATCCTTTGAAAAAAAAACTTAATTTATCATAAATCTATATAGGTTAGGTCGTAAGGCCCTGCTAGTTGGTCTGACCTATTCCCAAAACATTAATTGAGATGGAGTCATCAAAATTGATAGTGAGTTTTATGGTTTCAAGATATTAAATGCGTTACACCTATTGTTAAGTCATCACTATATGCACCTTAAACAACACGTGGCATGAAATAAAGGCAACAAATTTCAAAGAGCAATCTAGATCACAAATGACTGATGTTAGAATGAATGATAAGATACAAAAAATAAAGATTGATAAGATACTATGTTAGAATGAATGAAATATTCACGACAAACACTTAAAAGCACATTGACTGATGGATTGCCACGGAGAGCAGTCTAGATCATAATCCATACCCTAAATTTGTTGGACTAGACTTGAGTTGTTATTGTTCCAGTTAGGGGTGTGCAAAATAACCAATAACCATAAACCAAATTCTTATCCAAATTAATCCAAATTTTAAAATCCAAACCAAATTTATATTTAAAATTTGGTGGCCCATTTATCAAATTAAAAAAAAAACCGGTAACCATTTGTTCCAAACCGGTTTGAGATTCGGTAACCATTTTCAATAAGCTTCAAAAATAAAAGTAGAATAGTTTGGGAAAATCAAGATCAACACAAATTTCAGAAACCCTAATTCTCAAAATCCAGAATTTATTCATCTCTTTCTTCTTCATCATTCTTCAAATTTCAAACTTTAATCTCATTTGTATCTTAATTCTCTAAATCACAATCACGGGTTTATCGAAATAGTTTTGCGACGGAGGAAGTTGCAGAGGACAGATACGTTGAAGACGAGAGCTTTGTTGTTTAGGTTGCTGAATAGGCGGAGGTGTTGAGATACGGTCGTGGTCGTGCGCAGGTGAGCCCATTAGTTTTTGAACATTTTCTATACTGCTATAATTTAAACTCCCAGTTGTTATGCTTGCATACCAGATGTTCGATCTATTTTCATTAAGCTATTTAGCATAGACAATGCCATACCCCTAAAAATATGGTTTGATCCTGTTTGTAAAACTACTTCCAACTCTAAATTATTTGTGTTACATAATGCATGGTTTCTTGTTAGCTAAAAATTGTTCAGAAACTAGTATTTGGGGACTACAAATTCTTGTTAGCTACTGTAAATTCTTGTTAGCTAGAAAATGAGGTAGGAGGGAATGAGATCGTGGTGAGGTGTCTGTGTGTCTCAATATTGTTGACATTATCATTTTCCTTAAACCATATTTCATAGCTTAAGTTCAAAGCCATTAGAAAGGCCTAAAGTTATAAGTTCTATACAAACTAAACATAATGGTTGTATACAAAGAATGTGAACAAATTGTTAAGACTTTTCATTTAGTAGAAATTATGTTTCTATGTGTCTGTTTAGGGACAGTTATATTTTATTAGTTAACTAGTTTATAAGTGCATTCAATTTTTTTCATAGCTTAAACAATTATATTTCATAGCTTAAATCAATTTTTTTCATAGCTTAAACAGTTATATTTCATTGCTTAAATCATTTAAACAGTTATATTTCATAGCTTAAATCAATTTTTTCCACCGTATAACCAAACACACTTAGATAATATTTATTAGTTAACTAGTTTATAAGTGCATATTTAGATTGACAATGAGATTGGTGAAATTAAGGCAATACTACACTGACTTAAGCAAAAAGTATATTCTAGAATATCTATAAAATCAGGTAGGTGTAGAGATTGGTTTCCTCTTCAAAGTTTTGTTTGAGATTTCTTAGACATTGCTCTAATGGATTTTTTTAAATATTTCTTTAACTTAAATGCATTTTTTATCATCAAGTATCACAATGGAGTGATTTTGGCTTCTAATTTTTTTGTCAGTTTACAAAGACAAACTTTAATGTTACAGATAATGTTGAAAGTTATCATAGTTTATAACTCATTCCAAATTTTATCACTAAATAGTTATTTGAGGTACAATAATTTAATTGGATCCATTGCCTATGATTCCAAGAGCATTTCTGAAATTGAGTCTGCTTGTCATGGTTCGTCTTCCCATCCCGCCATTGTCCTTTCTCATCATGGTAGCAAATTCTCCATAATCTATTTGTCCATCCTGCAGTAAAAAATGTTACTGTTGGAGTATAATCTTGAAAGACAGTTTGCAGAAACATGTGACCTATACAAGCAAGCTCTTAATAGCAAGACAAAGAAGAAGAAAACTTACATTATCTTGATCAATTTCCTTGACCATTTCATCAATATGGATATCATTCAAACCGAACTCCTTACAAGCTACTTGAATCTCATCAATGGTTATATAACCACTTCCATCTTTGTCAAAGTAGGAGAATGGTGACAAAAGATTTTCCTCTCTTTCCAGCTTGTTTAAGTGGACAGTAGCAGCAATGAATTCACCATAGTCGAGTGTGCCGTTATTATCAATATCTTCCTGTCACATGCAAAATTATAAGAATTGTCAGATTGTTAAGTTTAGAATTAGGTAAAAGCGTCACAAATTATGAACTAATGATTCATCTTACTGCATCCATAAGATCCTTGATTTCAGATTCCATAAGTTCAGATCCTACTCGCTTTAAGCCTTCTTTTAGCTCATCCAATGTTATGGTTCCACTGCTGTCAGCATCAAGCATCCTAAATATATTATTAGCGTTTGTGTTATGACTAGGTTTTCAGAAAAGTGATGGCTTTGAACTTACTATTATTATTTTCTGTACTGTCAAATACTCGCGCTTGAACATTTTCATTTCTTAATACAAAATATAGAATTAAAATGTTTCAAGTGATTTATCAATTATTTGATAGTTTGCAATAAAATTGATTTTTTTTAAAAATTGGTTTTAAAGTTGGTTTTTTTTATAAAGTTGGTTTTAAAATTAATTTTTTTAAAGAAATAAAAAACTGGTTTTGAGAGAAACCGGTTTAAAACTGATTTTTAAAAAAACTGTTTTTTTTTTAAATCGGTTTGAAACCGAACCGATCCACTTGTAAATCGGTTTTAAAAAAATAAACCGATTTTATATAAATAGTTTTGAGATCCAAAGCAAACCATATATGTAGTTTGGTTTGGTTTATAATTCATGCACACCCCTAATTCCAGTCAGAGTTGGCAAGAACAATTTCCAGAGAGAGAGAGATCAGTTCTCTCATTAATCATTTCAACTCATATAATTAATTATTAGTTTATGAATCACACATAACTCAAACAAACCCTTTATAATGAGACTAGTAAAAATATTACCAATATTTCAAAAAAAAAAAAACGAATAGACGCAGACTTCTTTCTTTTTAAAATACAAAATATTTATGAAGCAAGCTAAGTGGTTAAGTCAAAAATAGTAAGTCAATAGGTTGAGTAGAAAGCACCCTTTTTTCAAAGAACGAATGTCATGGATATTTTTAAAATAAATTAAAAATTAATAACTTTAAATGTGATTTTATTCTTCTAGATAAAATCTCCATTTTTATTACTTATATATAGAATCATATACACCTAAATAAACTCTTAACATTTTATATATATATATATATATATATATATATATATATATATATATATATATATATATATATATATATATATATATATATATATATATATATATATATATATATATATATATATATATATATATATATATATATATAAAAAAGGAGGGAGGAGGGAGAGAGAGAGAGAGAGAGAGAGAAATCGTGGACACTGGATAGGATTGTTTTCGGTCCGGTCCGGTCTGGGTATCCAGGGTCTTGAGAGTTGGACCGAAACCCTAACCAGAACCGGACCAGAACAGTATTGGTTAATTTTTTGTACCGAAACCGATCCGATACATTCGGGTAAACCGAGACCGAACCGGATAAGGAAATGGTTTGAAGTAGTTGAATAGGAGGATTACTATTATGATTTGTTAATGGAGAACCGAGATCGGATCGATAATTTTCGGTCCGGGTATCTAGACCACCCGAATTAGCGAGTAAAAATAAAATAATATTTTTTAATTTCAAAATTCACAATAAATTTCCATTACATTAATTTTTCAATTTCTCATTGGTATTTGACATTACATTTTAAATACCACTCACATAATCACATCACATGTTCATAGAGAAGTTAATGTAAAAAATTAAACCTTGTTCAAACATAAGTTATGAAACTTATGTTTTCAAAAAAACAAAAAATATCATTACATTTGTTAATGATGCCTCAGAAGCATTGAAATTATATATGTTTAAGTTGTTGTTGTCGAAGAAGCAACAACCGGATCCTCACCAAAATAATATTTTAAAGGTTCATCTTGTAGTTCTTCAAGCTACAAAAGTAAAAAAAGATAAGTTCATAAGCACCACAAATGTAAAAGCAAAAGCCATATAAATATTAAATTAAAATAGACCATAAGCAAAAGTTACTTAAAATACTAGCAGTATAACCCTTTTTAATTCCATATTTTTCCTTCACTCAATCACCCCCACAAAGTACCATTTCAACTGTCTTAATTTTCATAGAAGATTGTTTCAGATCAATAACCCTATTATCAGCACTAAAAGTTGCTTTTGAAGCAACAGTTGTAACTAGAACAGTTAGGATATCCCTTGCCAATTTACTAAGAACATGATACTTGGCTTCACTCCTCATCCACCATGTTAAAACATCAAAGTTAACTTTAGGGGGGAACTTTCAAGGGAGACTCTTCAAGATATAATTCAAGATCAGATTTTGAATTAGTATTACCAACAACAGTTTTTAAAAACATCTCAAAACTCCTCCTTCCCAACCCAGAACTAGATCCTACTTTTGGAGTTTCAGATACAGGGACATTCTCATCATTGGTTCCATATGTATCTTAATACAATTCGAAGAGAGATTTTAAGCTGGTTGCCAACTTATGTTCATAGGCAGTGGCTTGAGTAGGATTTGGATACAATAAGGGATATACCCATTTGATGAAGATCATTTTATACCTATTTGAACAAGTAGAGTTGTCAACCAACTTAAATTCATCTATACCCATTTGCATAATTTATTTTCAACATGTTTGGCCTCAGAATTTGATTTCATTATAAGCAACTAAAGTCACAAGGAGGTAACAGAATTGGCCTTAAACACAACTAAAGTCACAAGGAGGTAACATAATTGGCCTCAGAGACTACTATAATCATATCAAGCAGATGAAACAGAATTCATCATAGGCACAATTAAATCACAACACACAAGGCAACATAATTTAATCCTAGGCACAATTGAGTCACAACTTACAAGGTAAGATGATTGAATCATTTCACAAGCAGATCAAACAGAATTGGCCTCATATCAAACATAATTCATCATAGGCACAATTTCATCACAACTCACAACAAGGCAAAAAAAATTCATCATAGGTACAATTTCATCACAACTCACAACAAGGTAACAAAATTCATCATAGGAAACATATGAACAATTGATCAAACATTATTCACAAGCAGTTCAGACAGAAGTGGCCTCAAATACTATTTCATGGGCAACAAAATTCATCATAAGCCAAGGTTTAATTACAAGGCAACATACCAAGCAGAATAATAGCTACCTAATGTACAATGCAATGACAACTTAATTGACTATCTACTTGTAAATTGTACATACCTTGGATCAAGAACTGCACCAATAGAAATTAATGTATTAGAATCAGACTAATACTTGTCATATTTCAACTTCAATTCATTAGCAAGCGCTTGCAACTGAGGATTATTTAAGATGCTTGAAGGTTTATCAAGTATAACCTTAAAGCTCAACCAAAAACAAATTAGCAGTAGGGTAAGAGGTGCCACTAATAATTGATGTAACATCAGCAAAAACATCCAAAAACTTGCAAATATCATGAACATCTTCCCAATCATTTGCATCAGGAAAAAGGTGAGAAATGCACCATTTTCTTCAACATATCTTGGCCATACTTCTCTGTAGTGTTATGCAGTGGACAACATCAACCAAGTTGAGTTCCACCTTGTCTTAATATCCAACACTTGCATTCTGCCTTCAAGTTGCAACTCATCAACAATTATTTTGAATGCTTTGCATCTAGTTTTAGAATTCAGCAAGTATTTGACCCCATTTCTAATCTTATCAACAACCACCTTAATCATATCAAGACCATCCTAAACTAACAAATTTAAGATGTGTGCACAACATCTCACATGAAACAGTTTACCATCCAATGGTAGATATCTCCTATCAGAATAATCTCTCTTCAATCTAGGAATGCAGTTATCATTGGCACTATAATTATCAACTAAAATTGAAACAACCTTATCCCTTATGCCCCAATCATCCATGACCTTAATCAATTCCCTACACAAACCTCACCAGAATGTAGTGGTGGCACATTCTTAAAAGATAAAAATATTTTGTGAAGCTGCCATTTTGAATCAATGAAATGACTAGTCACAGTCAGATAACCAATTTTCAGTTCACCAGACCACCACAGGTCAGTTGTAAGACTGATCCTATTAATAAAAGACATAGACTTTTTCATCTTAACTCTCTTAGCCTCATAAAATGTCTCACAATAAAACTTAACGTGTTGTTTAGTAATCTTTTTGTACCATGGATAAATTTCTCTAAGAAACTCATTAAAGATAACACCTTCCATAACTGTAAAACAGAAAAAGGAAATTCATGACCTAGAATCATATGAGCAACAACCTCTCTAACCCTAGAATGATTATATGTCCAACTTGCCAAACTTGGAGTACTATCACCACCTATATTTAACTTAGATTATGCAACATTTTTGTCAGTATTACCTTTCAACCTCAACTTTCTCTTAATGCAATTTTTTAAATGTTTCTTACCATTAGAAGTACTTTCCCATTTCACATCATAAGTGTAAAGCTTACCATACCATCTGTATTTCCACTTCTTAGCACCATCAGACATTTCAATAAGTACCATTTCAGTATGAACAACAAATTTCTTGGGACGAGGAGTTTTACTAAAGGTATTTATCCAGCTATGAGAACTTTGATCTAGGTCAACTGGAGGGGTTGCCCTGTCATTAGCAGTAGTTGTATTTTGAGTAGTAGTAGTAGTAGTAGTATTTTGAGTAGTAGTTGTATTTTGAGTAGTGTTGTTAGTTAGAAGTGGAACTGGAAGTTCCAAATCAATCATCTCATCAATCTCTATATTTTCTCCATCCATTGTCTCCTCTTCCCCAGTCCCATCAAGCAACATGTTAATATCAATAAGATCATCCATAGTTGGAGCCAATGAAGAATCTTGAAAAGACATGGCATAAAATTCAACATCGATCAAACAATAATGTAATGTAATACGAAATATGAACAAAACTGAGTAACATAATACAACCTTTTTATTAAGAACAAAAGACAAACAATTATTATTAGGGAAAAATACAACCTCAGCAGCACAAATCACACAATACAACCTCAATTTAAAACCCTAAGCCAAACCCTAATGAAGAACAAAACTCAGCAACAGAATCAAATACTCAAACATTTTTTATCAAAACTCAAGCAATATAAATAACAAATCAAATACTCAAACAGTTTAGGTCAAAATTTTGTTCATGAAACAGAGTCACGAACGAATCCAAAATCCCAACATTTTATGTCAAAATTTAGATAAAAAATGGTACCAGGT